CCAGAAAGGAACACCAGGAGGAGCACCACCACCACTAAGCACCAGCAGGGGGTCACCACTTACAAAAGTCACCCCATCACACTTCACCAGCCACCGTGACCACAGTGAGGACTTCGGCATCTTGTGTGTGAGAAGAAGAAGAAGAAGAAAGCTCACAGATAACCCCCACTTCCTACCTACCTTCCCGCCTTCCCTCCCTCCTTCCCGCCTTCCCTCCTTCCCTCCCTCCTTCCCTCCCTCCTTCCCTCCACTAGAGACAATATCACTCTTCAATTAACCAAGATTTTTATCACTGTGGGAGGGCGATGTAGCGTTACTCTCTTTGTCTGCTGTTATGAATGACACATTAATTCCCTCTCATCATCCTGTGAGGTATTTTAAGTCCCCTATCTACCTTGTGTGTTTCTCTGATAAATATAGACCTTAAAAAATATATGTGTGTGTTTATTTATATGTATGTATGTATGTATGTATGTATGTATGTATGTATGTATGTATGTAGGAGGCTGGTAATCGGGGAACACACTATACTTTAAGGTCGAATCCCGGCATGACATTTATCTCCACTAACTTGTAAAATACATTTCCTTACACGAAGTTTAAAACACAGGAGAAAGGTCGCTCAGCTAAAACTGTCAGCGTCAGAATTGAAAGCCATCTGTCAGTGAGGGAGAGAGGGTAGGAGGGAGGGAGGGAGGGAGAGAGGGTAAGGGAGGAAGGGAGGGTAAGGGAGGGAGGGAGGGAGGGAGGAGAGGGGTAAGGGAGGGAGAGAGGGTAAGGGAGGGAGGGTAATGGAGAGAGAGGGAGGGAGGGGAGAGGGGTAAGGGAGGAGAGGAATGAGGGATAGGTGGGGTGGTGTGGGGCGAGGTCAAGGGAGGAGAGAGGAAAAAAAGGAGGAAGGAAGGGAAGGAGGGAGGGATGGAGGGAAGGGGAGAAGGAGGGAAGGAAAGAAGGTAGGAGGAGGTGAGGGAGGGTAGGAGAGACGGAGGGAGGGAGGGAGGAGAGGGAGGGATGGAGGGAAGGGGAGAAGGAGGGAAGGAAAGAAGGTAGGAGGAGGTGAGGGAGGGTAGGAGAGACGGAGGGAGGGAGGGAGGAGAGGGAGGGATGGATAGATGGAGGGAGAAAGGGAGAGAATGAATGAAGGTAGAAGAGAGAGGGAGAATCATCTCCCTTACACTCTGTACTCAAGGAACGTAAATGACTTTTAACCTCACGCCTCCAAGTAACTGTAACGAGCCTCTCCCAGTCCACAGTCTAGACGGCTCAGGAAGACAGTCATCGTGAAATAAATTAAGTCATTAGAGAAACATAATTACAGGTAGTTAGTGGATAAAGGTTAATGATTAATAAATAAATTACTTAAGGGTCGTATTTGGATAACATCTGTGAAGGGTCTTGGTACACACACACACACACACACACACACACACACACACACACACACACACACACACACACACACACACACACACACACACACACACACACACCCTACCATCAACTAATGAACCACATTATATAATTATTCCATTACAATTTTGTTATATTTTCTCACAAAGACAACTAATTACTACCAATATATTTTTTGATGAACTGGAGGTAATTTATGCTAATGACTCTAATTAATCAGTCATTATGTACACTAATTGAACACCTGTAGAGATTAATGATGATTTGATTTTTGGAATACGTCTACAAAAATATACTCTGGGGTGAAAAATTATACTGCATTTATATTCTTGTTTAATGAGGTTTTGTGAGGTAATATGTCCTCGTTATAGAGCAAGTGGTTTGGTGTGTGTGTGTATGTGTGTATGTATGTATGTATGTATGTATGTATGTATGTATTCTCACTACATATACAGTTTTCATATATTAGTCAATGGAGAGAAAGATGAAACATATGAGAGAGAGAGAGAGAGAGAGAGAGAGAGAGAGAGAGAGAGAGAGAGAGAGAGAGAGACACTCCCCCCCTCCCCCCCCATACACTCAGCTCAGTAAAAGGTATGTGTATTCTTGTGTTGCCTTAAGGGTAAACACCGTATCGTTACCTACGTGTTTGTGGTGGTGGATGTTATTCTTTGAGACTAAAATCCCTAGATGGTTTACATACCAGTACACGAGGGAGGCGCTGAAGGTGGTGGCTGTTGAGGGAAGGGCAGTGATGTATGGCCTCCTGGTGGTGTTGTGTGTTGGGGTGGTGGTGGTGGTGTTGTGTGTTGGTGGTGTTGTGTTGGGGTGGTGGTGGTGGTGTTGTGTGGTGTTGTGTGTTGTGTGTTGGTGGTGTTGTGTGTTGTGGTGGTGGTGGTGGTGGTGGTGGTGTTGTGTTAGAGGTGGTGGTGGTGGTGTTGGTGGTGTTGGTGTGGTGTAGGGGGTGGAGTATCCTTGTGGTATTCTTCTCAGTGTGTTGTGTGGTGGTGTGTTGAAGTGGTGGTGTGTTAGAGTGGCGGTGTGGTGGGGTGGTGTGGTGTGTTGGAAGTTATATATGAGAGATGTGTGGTGGTGTGGTTGGAGGAGGTGCAAAGATGTGGGGAGTCTGCAGGAATGATGTGGCAAACGTGAGAGAGAGAGAGAAAGGAGCCACCTGGTTGAGTTTATATTCCCTATCGTTGTGACAACCATCTTCAGGTCGTACCCCAATTAAGTGGGCCAGGTGGAGTGATCTCATAATTATCTACAGTTAGTGGAGGAGGCTTGGTGGTGCAGCCCCCTCTCTCTCTCTCTCCTTAACCATGGTGCGCACATCATGATCTCACACACACACACACACACCACCCACCACCCCATGTGTGTCTGCCCTCTCCAAAACAGTAGTTATGCAGAGTCTCGTAGATGACTTCAGATACCCTACACCTCCCACACCCCTACACCCACACCTCCTCCACCTACTTTCCTTCCTCCTCCTCTCCTCTAATTGTGTTACCTCCACCCAGTCTCAGCCTACAGGAGGGCAGGTGTGGGCTCTGGGATTTATTGCTTCCCTCCCTAGCCGTAAGTCTCGTCAGAATATTTGCATTACAGCCACACGTTGTTCAGGACCCCGAGCTGGTAGATGTGTGTGTGTGTGTGTGTGTGTGTGTACGTTTCTGTATGTGTATATGAGTGTGTATGTCTATTAAGTGCGTGTATGTTTATATGTGAGTGGGAGGGGGAGAGAGAGGAAGGAAGGAAGGAGGAATGGGGAGGAGGAAGGAGGGAAAGAGGCAAGAGAAGGAGGGATTAGTATGGAGGAAGGAAGGGAAAGGAACGAGGAGAGAGGAGGGAGAATAAGGAATAGAATGAGGGAAGAGGAGGGTATAAGGAGGGAATAAAGAGGGAATAAGGAGGGAGGTTGAGGTGTGAGTGACAGATGGAGATGTTTAATGTTGTTCTTGTGACACTAATTATGTTCTACCACCAGTGTAATGATGTCTGTCTGTCTGTCTGTCTGTCTGTCTGTCTGTCTGTCCCTCTCTCTCTCTCTCCCCTTCTGCTTGTGTAATAATAATAATAATAATAATAATAATAATAATAATTTACCGTTTATTGAAAGAGCATGGCAGCAAGAAGGCTGAAAATATACAGTTACATAATTGGGGAATGGGTCTCTTGATTTACAAATAACATACAAGTAATATAAGTGATACAAATATGATATTCAGGTATAATAACTAGGTGGGGAGGAGGTCATACTACAGGGCATTTCAACATAGTGACAGTGCACAAAGGTAAGATTAACTGGGAGTGAATACAAGTTATTGATAATTTTTACAATGGTTGGGACTGGGCTGTTCTTATAGCGATCAGTTCGTGCTCGTATGGGCTGGATGCGGTTGTGGTGTCGAACAGCAATTCTCGGACGGGATCTCGGGTGGTAGTAGGAGCCGGTGTGGTGTGGTGTGAGATGTCTACTGTCCCCATCCATGGAAATTGACTCTGGAGCCTTGGACAATTTCCCATTGCTCTATACACTATCCCAGAGCACTGAACACTACTCTAGAGCCCTATACAGTATCCCAGAGCTCTATACAGTATCCCAGAGCCCTGTCTCAGAGCCTCAGTCCAGGACAGAAGAAAACGTAGTGCATGTGGGTGATGCAGCAGGTAAATTAAACGGCTAATTACACCAGGTTGAGGACCCTTAAGCTAACTACAGGTGACACTGATGGTCGGTGGTGCTCAACACAATGGCAGGATGTGCAGGATGGGTAGGATAACACTCACACGATGGGCAGGATGGGCAGGATAATAGTCGCCTCCTGGATATACTGTTTTTATCCTGTGTTATTTGTGTGTTCCTGTCTTTAATCTGGTGCCGATGACGTAATTATGGTAGATCTGGATTAACTTAACCTCATTTTAACCTGTCTTTATTTTACTTAACTACTTAACTTAACTAATTTAACCTTATCCAACCTACCTAACTTATTTAACTTAACTGCCAGAGAACAAAAGTGACGCAGTACCCGGGGCAGGTAATCGTCGGGGCAGGTAATCGTCGGGGCAGGTAATCGTCGGGGCAAACAGGTAAGAGACAACAAGTGGGTCATTGAGAGTCATTTTATGGGTCAGTGATTTTGATGATAGCAGTTAACCTCTGGCCGTCGCTAAAGAAAGATTATTCATGACAAATTTGAATAGCCTGTTCCTCGTGTGTGGTGAAGAGTGGAACGACGATTACCAGAGAGACAGGCAAATAAACTGATTATTTGAAGATAAGTTTTTCTCACCTGTAGATTAACATAACGTAATTCCTCCCTAGGGTGATGAATCTTCAGGTAATCTAAGACGTTGACTAATTCATCATTCATGTAGACGTTAAGTATAAATTGGCTTACTAACTCCCAGCAGTGGCTAGAACGTCATTATCAACCCCGGGGCGTCGTCGTGTGCTGCTGCTGCTCTGACCACAGTTTGTTGACGGCCAGGCAAGGTGTGGGTGACGCTGGCCCCGCCCACCACCAAGTCTAACTCCTCCCATCCTCCTACCACAATACACCACCAGACACCACCACCAGCCTACCTACCGCGGCCTTTAGTCTGAGTCAGGGCTTCTTAGGGTCAGGATGTACACACTTTAGTATTCCCATAAAGTGTTCATTTGTAAAGCATCGAGTGAAGGAAATCGACTTATATGTCTCTCATTTTCGACTCGTTAAAAGTGTGTTAGATATATAATGTAAACCGAACATCAAGTATAGAGTTGTGTGGATATTTACAAAGTGGTTGAGATCATAATGAGAGAAAATGATACGTGTTGTAATTTATTAAGCTGTGTGGTGGAACATCTACAGGAAGAAGAGGAGGAGAAGGCGGCGGCATTGGACACCTAACCATGGCGGTGTTGGTGTGTGTGGTGGTGATGGCTGTGGTGATGGTGGCTGGACATCAAGGTGAGAGACAAACAAACACACAAGAGTTCTTCATTAGTTCTTTGACAGAGTTATATGGGCATACCTTCCCTGACTGGCCCTGAAGCACCGGTCCCTCCCCATACCTGTGTGTAGAGAGTTCAGGTGATGCTTCACTCTTACCTGGCCATCTTCAACGCTTGTGAATCTCCGTTTCCTCACCAGGTGTCTCTGTTGTCTTGAGGAAGTTTATGCTAAGGAGGAGGAGGAGCCTTAAAATCGGTTAGGGGAGTGAGGGCTGGGAGGTGTTGGGTCCAGATGGTCCTAGACAAAGCCTTCCTGGGAGTCCTATAAGAGTGAGGGACGCCCCTAAACCACGCAGGGACGCCCTTTATCCTGCGGGGCTCCTTCACGAGAGGCTTATCCTTTGTCTTCCTATTAAATCAGATTATTTCTTAAGCTATAGGATCACCTGAAGATTAGTCACTCTCGACTTGTTTCACCTGATGATTAAACACCCTAACTCTACCTGGGGGTTAGGTTAGGTTAGGTTAGGTCAGGTGAAATAAGCTGAAGGGCTAATCTCCAGGTAATCAATCCAGGGTAATATTTTCTGCCGTTGTCCAGGTGCACTTCCTAATTAGTATTATGGCATGATGTCAGGTGATATCAGTGCCATGGGTGATATCAGTTAGCCCCAAACATGCTCACTAATGGTCTGGGGTTAAAAATATATAATTATGGTCATTAACTGAGCTAATGATCCTTGACCAACTTTCACCCTCATTTCATCATTAATTACTTCCTTGAGAATTTTTTTCGGTGTTAATTTTTCTTTCTTTTTTTCTCGATAATTTTGGAACAATTTAGGTATTTAAACACCTTTGGTTACCTGAAGAATCTCTACACCTGTTCATTTCACCTGAAGATTAACCACCTTACATGTACTGGTGCCTCGGTTAAAGTCCAGGTCTTCTCTGTCTGTCTGTCTGCCTGTCTGTCTGCCTGTCTATCTCTCTTTGTATCTCCGTCTCTTTCTCTCGCCCTCTTTGTCTTTATCACTCTCCTCTCTTTCTTTCTGTATGTCTCTCTCTTTCTCTCTCCCTTGTCTCTCTTTCTCTCAGTATTCTCTCTTCTTTGTACCTCTCTCTCTCTCTCTCGTCGTCAGATTTTCATGATTAAAGACTGTAAGTTTTCCCGGCGTATACTATAATTAAGTGAGGGCGGCGGGGGAAGGATACTGGAACAACACAACAGCTGGCAGTAGTTAGAGCTACAGTATAAGCCATCATCACTACTACAGGTATATAGTCCAGGTGTGGTGCTTCATTAGTGAATTCCGATCACTTACAGATTAGCCCCCCCACTCCCTCCCTCCCTCCCTCCCTCTCCCCTAGCTTAATTCACCTGGTGGTTGAATATACTAATGTTATCTAGGGAGTTTAGGTTAGGTTAAGTTAGGTTAGGGTGGTTAATCTTGGTTAGGTTTGTGTAAGGTTAAGTAATATTAAGTTGAAATAAGCTGGAGGGCGTCTCTTCAGGTGATCCACACTAGCTAACAATTTTCAGCGCAGGTATACAAACAATGTAATTAGACAGCGCAGGTATACACACAATATACATAGCCAGTACAGGTATACAAACAATGACAAACATAAGTTGATCTGACCAAAGGTATTCCAACGAAGTCAATATCACTTATCACCTGGGTCGCTTATGCCTCCCATGTGATTCATATTATCACCCCTAAGTCTCTAACACCCCATGTGACTCATATTATCACCCCTGAGTCTCTAACACCCCATGTGACTCATATTATCACCCCTAAGTCTCTAACACCCCATGTGACTCATATTATCACCCCTAAGTCTCTAACACCCCATGTGACTCATATTATCACCCCTGAGTCTCTAACACCCCATGTGACTCATATTATCACCCCTAAGTCTCTAACTTCCCCATGTGACTCATATTATCACCCTGAGGTCTCTAACACCCCATGTGACTCATATATTATCTAAGTCTCTAACATATTATCATCCCCTGAGTCTCTAACACCCCATGTGACTCATATTATCACCCCTGAGTCTCTAACACCCCATGTGACTCATATTATCACCCCTGACTCTCTAACACCCCATGTGACTCATATTATCACCCCTGAGTCTCTAACACCCCATGTGACTCATATTATCACCCCCCTGACTCTCTAACACCCCATGTGACTCATATTATCACCCCTGACTCTCTAACACCCCATGTGACTCATATTATCACCCCCTGACTCTCTAACACCCCAGAGAAGGAGGAGAGTTTATATGACTCAGAGACACACCTTCCCAACTTAGCCTCTCCTCCGTCCTGCCTGGTCGAGGAAGGTCAAGCAAGACGCGTGTGATTTAAGTCTTTCCATGATGAGGCGAAATGAAAGGTGTTTTTTGGGGGGACAGTTCTTTTAAGAGTTAGGGGTGTCAAAGGGGGCTATGGAGGGTGTCAGAGAGGTGTTAGGGGGTGTCAGGGGGTGTCAAAAGCTGTCATAGGGTGCCACTGGGTATTAGAGGTGTCAAAGGTTGTTAGGGGGGGGTGTCAAAAGGTGTCAACGGGTGTCATCGGGAGTGTCAGGGAGTGTCAAGAGGGTGTTATAGGGTACACCCTTAACCTAACTTGACCTTAACTATGAGAATTAGGGGCTATTCCTCACGGTTAGGTTAATAATAATAATAAATGAGAGAGAGAGAGAGAGAGAGGGAGAGAGAGGGAGAGAGAGAGAGAGAGAGAGAGAGAGAGAGACCACCACCACAACACACTATTACATAACCCTACCTGTCACCTGTACACATAACGCTGAAGGCAACTCTCTCTCCATTCAATAAATCATTGCACAAGTCCATCAATGGTTGTACACACGTAACCGTTCACCACATGACGCTCCCCCAGGTATCGATATGTTATGTCAACTGTTATTGACTTTTGTGTCGTGGTAATACAAAATAGTTTATTGTCCGTGTGTGTGTGTGTGTGTGTGTGTGTGTGTGTGTGTGGTTATACGGATTCACACAAATGGTTGGTGACACCCCCATGTTGTGCCCTGGTAACACTGACGGTACACATAGTAACACTGACGGTACACATGGCAACACTGACGGTACACATGGCAACATTGACGGTACACATGGCAACATTGACGGTACACATAGTAACACTGACGGTACACATAGTAACACTGACGGTACACATGGTAACACTAACGGTACACATAGTAACACTGACGGTACACATGGTAACACTGACGGTACACATGGTAACACTAACGGTACACATAGTAACACTGACGGCACACATGGCAACACTGACGGTACACATGGCAACACACGGTCATCAACACCCACTAACTGATGACCACCGCCAGCCAGTAAGGTGTTGATGACTGCTCCACCCACACTAAACAACGGCCAGAGTTGATGTCATCTTGGTGTTCAGTCGTCACTTAACGCCTGGCGAAGTTAGGACCCAACAACGTCTGGCGAACACATATAGAAAATATACCACCAACGCTACTCACTTAATACGTGATAAGTGTGACAGCTAAGTGCGTGAATAGAGTGTGTGGCCAGAAGCTAGAGTAGTGTGTGTGACAGGTGAGTGTGTGATCAGGTGTGACAGGTGAGTGTGTGTTACTACTGTGTGACCAGATGTTAGAGTAGAGTGCGTGATCAGGTGTGACCAGGTGAGTGTGTGTTACTACTGTGTGACCAGATGTTAGATTAGAGTGCGTGATCAGGTGTGACAGGTGAGTGTGTGACTATATGTTATTCGTGATTTAGATGATGATGTTATTTCAAGTTATTTATTTTCATTTTTACTGAATAATGAAGTTTAGTGAAGGGGGGATGGGTGAAGGGGGGATGGGTGAAGATGTGCTTGGGGGTGAAGATGTGCTTGGGAGGGGCAGTTGTTTTAAGGGTGGTGTCAGTGGTATCGGGATGTGTCAGGGGGTGTCAGCGGGTATTAAAGATTGTTAGGGGGTTATTCTAAGGGTGCCAGGGAGTGTAATGGGGTGCCAACGTGTATCAGGGGTTATAAAGAGGGTGCCAACGGGTATCAGGGGTTATCAAGAGGGTGCCAAGGGGTACCAGGGGTTGTCAAGAGGGTGCCAGGAGTTGTCATAGAGTATACTGAAGTAACTCTCGCTACACCAAACTTCATTCTTCATTAAAAAAACAAAACTAAACCACGTGATGAATTACGGTTCGTGAGTTAGATAAGACAAACCTCTGCTCACACTCGTCTTGTCTGGCTGTTTTTTCCTGAGCGCGTGACAGAACCTGCGGTGAGCCTGACTCATGGTGTGGTGTGTGGGAGGTCGTGGTGGTGAGGAGGGGTTGAGGTGAGGTAGGGAGGGTGAGGAGGGGTTTTGGTGGGGTGGGGGAAGGGGAGGAGGGGTTTTGGTGGGGTGGGGTGGGCAGGGATGAGGAGGGGTGGTGAGATCATAATGGTGAGTGGATGTGGTGTAATGATGGGGAGGGTTAAGGACTCATGCATTATGGTGGGGGAAAGGAAGGATGTTTTGTGATCATGGGATGCTGTGGCAATGTGAGGGGAGAGGAGGCTGGAGAGGGGAGAGGAGGCTGGGGAGGGGAGATGAAAGGAGGATGGTGAGGGTAGAAAAGGGGAAAGGTGGGGAGGGGAAATGGGGGGAAGGTTGGGGAGAAGAAAGGAGAGGAGGCTGGGGAGGGGAGATGAGGGAACACTATTATAATTAACTGGTACACACAATTGATGACTCATTGGTGAACGACATTATAAAATCGAATCATCCATTACCTCAGTGTTTCCTCATGACGGCGCTTACTAACGACCAATAATATTTCCAGGGGTAGTTAAGGTATAATTTGACTTAATTATATCACCAATTACCTTTTTATAACACTAATGAAACACAGTTGATGATTTATGATGATCTATTCTTAACTGTGGTTCCAATAATATTCCACTATTTTAACGGACCATAGAGAGAAAAGTCCGTTATATCGAGGGTCTGTTGGATAGGAAACCTCCATTTAACGGATTATAGAGAGAAATGTCCGTTATATCGAGGGTCTGGAGAGAAAAGGCAATGAGGTGGGAGTGGCACTGGTGGGAGGAAGATTGGTCAAGGAGGAGGTGTTTGGAGGGGGACCAGACCAAGGAGGAGGTGTTTGGAGGGGGACTAGACCAAGGAGGAGGTGTTTGGAGGGGGACTAGACCAAGCGGGAGGTGTTTTGAGGTGTTTGGAGGGGACTAGACCAGGAGGAGGTGTTTGGAGGGACTAGACCAAGGAGGAGGTGTTTGCAGGGGGACCAGACCAAGGGGGAGGTGGAAGTAGCAGCCACTCACCACCTCCTCTCGTAAAACTGCCGTCAGGTCGGTAATATGGACGGAACCTGACACTACTCCTGCTGCTGCTACTACTACTCTCCCTGCCTCAGTCCTCCCTTCCTCAGTCCTCCCTGTTTTTCTATTCCCTCCCTTCTCCCTAGACTATTTTCGTAACTGTTTGTGTGTGTGTGTGTGTGTGTGTGTGTGTTCATAATATCCAAACATAACCTGAGATTAGGTTACAATAGGTAAGGTTAGGTTAAGGAACTCGGGTACTGAGTTACATAATGTAGGTAATAACGTGGCTCTACCAGGTACAGTTGTATAAGAAGGGGGTGTGTCACTTGACCTAACCGCCAGATGACCTCGTCCAGTGAGTGTCAGTTGTATGGCTGTCTGATTATAGTAAACGTGTTGGTTACTCCCACAGAAGGATCACCAGAAGCGCGTGTTGTGGGACCTTGTGACTGTAGGTGGTGCTGGGGTTCCACAGTCATCACTCGGTGTTTATACAAGAATTTCATTAATATGTTAATACCATCAGTAACACGTGACGGTCTTGTTCCTACAGATGTAACACCACCAGTAACACGTCACCGTCTTGTTCCTACAGATGTAACACCATCAGTAACACGTCACCGTCTTGTTCCTACAGATGTAACACCATCAGTAACATGTCACCATCTTGTTCCTACAGAAGTAACACCACCAGTAACATGTGACCATCTTGTTCCTACAGAAGTAACACCACCAGTAACATGTCACCATCTTGTTCCTACTGAAGTAACACCACCAGTAACATGTGACCATCTTGTTCCTACAGAAGTAACACCACCAGTAACATGTGACCATCTTGTTCCTACAGAAGGGCCGCCAGTCATCAAGGAACATCCCAGTAACATGGTGGCTCGCCGTAACGACCCCGCCACCCTCAACTGTGCCGCCTCAGGGGCCGCCCGCGTCAGGTGGTTCCGTGACGGCCAGGAGGTGGTCACGTCGACACAAGATCCTCGCTCCCACCGTGTTCTCCTGCCCTCTGGTTCCCTCTTCTTCCTCCGTGTCACCTCCTCCAGGAGGGACAGTGACACGGGCACGTACTGGTGCGTGGCCTCCAACAGCTACGGTGCTACACGCTCCAACAACGCCACACTGACCGTGGCCACGCTGGCCTACGACTTCCAGAGCCAGGCGGAGTCGACGATGAGGGCCCGCGTCGGTGACTCCCTCACCCTGCCTTGCCGGCCACCCAAGGCCACCCCGGCCCCGGAGCTGAGCTGGCTGAGGGACGGCCGCCAGGTGACCAACTCCTCCCGTGTCAGCGTCACTGAGGAGGGAGACCTGGTCATCAGTCAGGCCGTCCAGGAAGACTCTGCCACCTACGTGTGTCGCGCCCGCAACGCCGCCGGCACCAGGGAGTCCCAGCCCACCCAACTCACTGTCATGAGTAAGTTCTCAAGATCTCACCAACTTTTTCTCCCCTACTGTGAATATAACAGCTTCACTGAGCACTGCACAACAGCTGTTAAATGATTAGAGCATTAACAATTATTTTTCATGTCTATTTTCAGCTCCGCCGTGGTTTGAGGAGCGGCCCACCAACGTGACCGCCCCGTCAGGAGTTGTGGTCAACTTAGCGTGTGGGGCACAAGGGTCACCCACACCCGCGGTCACGTGGCGGCGCCTGGACGGTAAGATGCCGCTGGGACGCGTCAAGATAGAAGACCAACGCCTGGTGCTGGAGCGAGTTGCCACTGAGGACTCCGGCGTGTATATGTGTGAGGTGGAGAACGAGGCAGGCATCGCTACGGCGCGGGCAACACTTACTGTCGTCGACGCCCCCGAGCTAACGCAGCGGCCACAAGACCTTCAGGTGATGGCTGGTGAGAGAGCAGAGTTTTCGTGCCGCGTGAAGGGCGGGCCTGAGCCACTTGTGGTGTGGCGTCTTCCCACACTAGACAGAACTGCCCTGCTCACCCCAGGACACAGCAGGAGTCACGCCTCCGTGTCTGATGATGGTCTCAACCTCGTCATAGAAGAAGCCACTACTCAAGACAGCGGGTCTTACCGCTGCTGGGGCGTGAGCAATGGAGGAGGTGTAAGTGGACAAGCGGAGCTGTTGGTGGTGCCCGCTCACCCGCCGCCTGTAGTGGGTATAGGACCCCAGGACCTGATGGTCGCCCCCGGCAGTGTTGCCTCCTTCCCCTGTGAGGTAGTGAGCGAGGCTGCCGAGGCCACCATCTCCTGGTGGTACCGACCGGCCGTCCACCTGCCGGCTCGCCAAGTCTCCCAACACTCGACAGACTCCAGGATCTCTCTCCCTGACAACGGCGCCCTCATCCTCAAGGATGTGCGCCTGGATGACGCGGGCATCTACACGTGCCAGGCCACGGCGGACACGGGCACCGTGGAACAGGCAGCGGTACTGAGGGTAGATCATAATGCTGAGGTGTTGGAGCCGCTGCTGCTGCCGGCGCCTCCCACCAAGCCGCGTCTTCTGGCCGTCAACCAGACGGCGGTGCAGCTGAGCTGGCTGCCCAACTCGCAAGTAAGTGAAGAGTCTGGTCAGTGGTACACCGTGGAGTACTGGCGGCAGGGCTGGGACGAGTGGCGAGTTGCCGACGCCGCCATCTGGAAGGAGTCGTCCGTGGTGAGTCATCTCACTCCCGGACACACTTACACCTTCCTGGTCCGCGCCGTCACCAACAGAGGGGCGTCGTTCCCGAGCCCTTGGTCTGACCCCATCACCACCCGTTCCCCCCGAGACCCCAGCCTCACTGTGAACCAAGTCCGCCAGGCCCGTCGCCGCCTCTCTCAACCCCGCGTCACCCTCACTGACGCCGCCGTCACGGCTCCCGACAGTGTACTGCTCACTTGGGACTTCCTGGCCTCGACGGACGAGGCGGTGGAGGGCGTGTTGGTGTACTCGGTGGGCGAGGACGGCGCTGTACAAGTGACCACCGTCCTGGGCGCCTCGTCCTCCTCCCACCTCCTCCATGACCTGCGACCCAACACTCCCTATACCTTCTTCATCGTCCCCTTCTGGCACAGCGTCGAGGGCACACCCTCCAACTCCTACTCTCTCACCACACCTGAAGATGGTAAGTCATCCATTTTCTCTGTTCACTATGTACGGAGATGTGGTGGCCGCCCAGAAGTGTCCAGAAGGCTGCTAAGAGTATAAGAGTGCCGGGTGATATACTGTACGATAATATTTCTCTCAGTCAACACCCGCTACTGACCTGCCAGAAGTAGGAACACCTCACCTGTACATATGTGACACAAAACAAAAATAACTTCACATCCAACCCAATGATTAACAAACTCATCTCTATTTTGTTTCTATGATAGGCCAAGGTTTTTAAGGTAGCTGAAATTTGGTATGTTTATGCTAACTTAATTGGTGATAAAACAAACCTTGTGTCCTTGTTCACAATATTTTGAACACTTCTTACTCTACTTCCTCCATATATTAACCTATTTTTGTCATATTTACAGTGCCGGCGGCTGCGCCAGGTGATGTGCGCGTGACGGTGCGTGAGGAAGGTTCTGTACTCATCAGGTGGTCGAGTGTGAGTCCCGAGGAGGCCCGCGGGGAACTACTGGGCTACCAGGTAACAATAAGTCACAACGGCAGTCACACCACAGAGACGGTGGCGAGCCCCTGGCTGGAGGCTCGCGGCCTCCTTCCCAGCCGCCTCTATACCGTGCGTGTGGCGGCCCTCACAGGGGCGGGTCCTGGACCCTTCAGCGACCCCGTCTTGTTGGATGCCCACAGCTTTCATGAGGTGAACACAGCTGAGAACGATGGTGACTCCATGGTGTACAGCCAACCACAGCCGGCGTGGCTGATATACCTGCTGATACCGCTGGTGTTGCTGCTGGTCCTGGCCACCCTGGTGTACGTGAGGCGGCTGAGGCTTAAGGCGCCGCCCTCCAACCCGCCCCACGCCCCCGCCCTCTACCAGGACCCGTCCATCTACCCCGATCACCACTCAGTCAACATGTACGGGGAGCGCAAGTTGTGGCCGCCTCCTTCAGAGAGTGACAAAGAGTCCAGTTTGTCGTCGACCAGACTCCTTCGTCCAGACCAACTAGTGAACGAGTACGCCGAGCCTCGGGTACAACAGACAACAGAACCTTACGCCACCACGGCGCTGCTGGCGCCTCCGTCGCCTCGCCTGAACCATGGCGCCCCCTGGCGACACCACAGCGATGACTCCGGCGTGCAGGTCAACTGGGCTGCCATTCTCCCGCCCCCACCAGCCTGCCCACCACCCCTTGACCCTGACCAAGAGGAGCCGGTGGGCGGCAGTAACTTGCAGGGGCCCAGGAAGGTGTCCTCCGCCGCCTCACAGTACGACAACATGGGCGGGTCAGAACAATACAAGCGGCCGTGTGACGCCGACTCGGATCACACCTATGATGTGTACACACAGGTGACTCCTGCCGACGGCTTCCTTACCTTTAATACTCTACAGGACCGTAAGGTCCACGCCGACTGTCACCCTCCACCACCGACAGACCCGCCACGTAGCAACACACACTAATGCCAGTGCCAGCTGGGCCAGCAGACAACAGTGCGACCCATAAGAGGCGATGGCACACCTCGAGCATGTGACAGTGAACAAGTGCCTCAGTGGACAGTGAATTTGTTCTTTGTTGTTTTTAGCGGTCAGCAGTTAGTGTACGAGAGGTCAGTGTTGATCACTACACCGCCTCCCGCTTGTTAGTGCCACCCAGGTGGATCTCTCCATGGTGGTGCCAGAAGCAGATGACACACCAAGTGGCACCTTAGTGATACTACCGCCACACCCTAGTGCCACGCTCCTACACCCACCACACCCTAGTGCCACCGTCCTACACCCACCACACCCTAGTGCCACCCTCCTACACCCACCACACACTAGTGCCACCCTCCTACACCCACCACACCCTAGTGCCACCTACACCCACCACACCCTAGTGCCACCGTCCTACACCCACCACACCCTAGTGCCACCCTCCTACACCCACCACACCTAGTGCCACCCTCCTACACCCACCCACCACACCCTAGTGCCACCGTCCCTACACCCACCACCCACACCCTAGTGCCACCCCTCCCCACCCACCCACCACACCCCTAGTGCCACCGTCCCTACACCCACCACACCCTAGTGCACCCTCTACACCCACCACACACCCACCACACCCTAGTGCCACCCTCCTACACCCACCACACACTAGTGCCACCCTCCTACACCCACCCACCACACCCTAGTGTCACCCTCCTACACCCACTCACCACACCCTAGTGCCACACTCCTAGTAAGAATAACAAGATATATTCTGCTGTGGTGCCAAACAGTGCCAGATGGTTGTGTCACGTGACCGCTGCCACATGTTATTTATTACTAGTCACTTACTGTAAATATGTACATCATAGAGACTTTATTTTTATATTAAAATTTGTTATTGATTACAGAACAGTTTTTATTTATTCCTATTAATGAGTAAGAGATGTAACGCAGGTCTGGGGGGCCCATAAGGTCTGAGGCCAATTTGGTCTGGGGCTCACTAGGACTGGGGTCTAGTTGGCCTGTCACTAGCACTGTACTTCAGGATGGAAGGTGGAGACGAGACACAATTATTTAGTTCTACTTTTGTTTAATGTCAAATAGTCCCCAGTCCTGATAGACCTTAGTCCTACTGACCACAGTTCCAATAGACCCCATTCCCATAAGACCTGAGTCGTATTAGACCCTAATTTCAATAGATCATAATCTTAAAAGGTCCCAATTCTAATAGATCCTAGTTTATGGACTTGGAACCCATTAAAACACTTGGCGTCTGACACTATAAACACCCACGACCATCAACAGCTTCATGGTAACACACAAGGTGGTTAGCCTGGCTCACTATTATCTGTATTTACCTGGGGATTTAAAGCAATTACCTGGCCATTAGTGTCAGTATGAGTTGACACGGGAGTCGTTCTCAGGTAAGGATAATTATTTGTTTATTAATTTACGCACCTTGACATAAGCACACCTGTATAACACCTGTGTCTCGTTAGGAAGTACTAATTAGTCTTTCATCGTTATGGTCCTAATTGGCACTTATCCTAATAGTTTTTTTTAAGGGGATTAGCCCACCTGGGCACAGGTCACTGACCCACATCGGGGCCTGGGGGGCGAAAATTTAATAATAATAATAATAATAATTCATAGTAAATAAAATTTATAATAAAAAGTCAATTAAAATAGTAATAATAATAACAACACTGTAATAATGATAATAAAGAAAAAATAATAATAATCAATAGTGAGAAACGCTATATGTACAGTATGTTGTGTTGTCAATAGTAAGAGAAACAATTGAGACCCTGCAATTGTGTGTAAATGAGGCAGAAAGACAGATCAGCAACCTGGGACTTGGTCACAATATTCGTGATGCCATATGGCAGCAGGGTCTACCATTAGACAACACATTATGCTTCCAATATCTTCCCAGGTGGTAGTACCTCCCTGTTTAAGTTAGGTTTAGTTAAGCTAGTTAAAGTTAGGGTAAGTTAGGTTAGACTAGTTTTGGTTGCATAATAAATGATAATTCTTCCAACCAAACCAACCAAACCAACCAACCAAACCAACCAAATCATTCCTCGTGTGCTAACCATCTCCTCATTAATGTATTATTCACATCACCTGGTGGACATAATTAAGTAATTAGATTTATATCACCTGACACAAGCGACGTAATTATAGTGACCACCGGCCTTACCTGTACACCCCCTCACCTGTACCCTCCCTCACCTCTACCCCACACCCTCCACCCCTCTTACCTGTACCCCGTCCCTCACCTGTACCCCCTCCCTCACCTGTACCCCCCCTCCCTCACCTGTACCCCCCTCAGGTATAATAATTTACACCACTACCTCTCTCAAGATCTGTATCACACACTGCATAAGGGGGCAGCAATGTGTCTTGTGTCGTCATCTGTGTGTGAGGGAGCAGTATGTCTTAGCTGGGATTGGCTGGGCGTTTGAGCTGTGATTAGGTGGATGATTTAGCTGTGATTAGGTGGATGATTTAGCTGTGATTAGGTGGATGATTTAGTTCTGATTAGGTGGATGTCTTAGCTATGATTAGGTGGATGTCTTAGCTATGATTAGGTGGATATCTTAGCTATGATTTATTACTTACATCCACACAAAATGACAGAAATAATCACAGTCAGGGAGAGTTAGAGAAACACGGGCGCCATCTGGGGGTGGAAAGGTGAAGTGTGTGTGTAAACAATGTGTCGTGCCCTCCCCGTATATAGTGAGGTCATTAATGCAGGTTTGTGTAGCGTCGATGGTGGTGCTGTGTAGTGATGGTGGTGGTGTGTAGTGATGGTGGTGGTGTATATGTTTGTTGTGTAGTGGTGATGGTGTAGTGTGGTGTAGTGTGTAGTGGTGATGATGGTCGAGAGGTGATAATGGTGTTATATAATGATAGTGGTGGTGTTATGTTTGAAGTCACACACACACACACACACACACACACACACACACATTAACGACAACAATAGCTGCCCCATAATTATTACCGAGAGCTTAATAAAACACAACAATAAAGACATTAAAACAAAATACACAAGAAAAACAAAAACAAATAAAAACATCACTGGTACACACAAACAGGTAAACGAAATAAACCAAAACTAACTCACTAAAACACATAATCAAAATTACTAACAAAATCATAGAATTACCAAAGAGAAAAATTATTCGTGGTAAAAGAAACTCAGAAATAAATAATAGAGACGAATAAACACAGGTGAGAATACATTACCTGCTAATTAAAAACAGTAAATTAGTGGTCGGTGTTTAGGATCGGCTGACTGTGTGGAGCGATTCACCTGTCAGTTCAAGTTAGGTTAGGTTAGGTTAGACTAGGTTAGGCTAGGATAGGTTAGGTTAGACTAGGTTAGGCTAGGATAGGTTAGGTTTTAGGCAGTTCAGGTTTTAATCTGACTTTTTATTTCCTGCTTTTAATTAGCGTGTACTGTACAGGTATTATACATCAACAGGTGAGGTAGAGTGTTGCTGATGTATTACAATAGTCTTCACCTGATGACCAAGATAATCCTTTTCAATGCTTCACCTCCCCATCAGGACACAGGTAAGTCACGCCCCTGTCAGGTCAGAAGGTCAAATAGAAACCCAACATTCCGACAGAGAGAGAGAGAGAGAGAGAGAGAGAGAGAGAGAGAGGACTTTAGTCAACCTGTCCTACGCCATGCTAAGGGACGCCCACAGATTGACCTCTCACCTGGGCGGGGTCAAGAGGTCAGAGGGGGGTGGGGGCAGCATGATATGTAGTTTTAGCCACTTAAGACACTCGGTGGAGACGCTGATGAAAAGAAACCAGACCTTGTGGCAAACACTTTAACATGGCTGGAAAATGTAACCAAAATCTGTCTTGGTGATTTGGTGAAGCAGATTTTCTCCCCGTTGAATTTAATAATAATTGGTTCCTCTAACTCAAGATTAATTCATGGGAGGGTTCAACTCATCCCTAGAGCGTCCACACCTGTAGGGAAAATAAATAAACAGAACAGAACGCGGCAGGTAATGAAGGACTTTATGCTAGGTAAGAGAAGAAAAAGGAAGCATCACTCGTGTTTGTGTTGTGCAAAGTTAGTCAAGGGAGTCGACCCCGCCTCTCCCTCCTTACTGCTGGAGTGTGGTGGAGACTTTACTCTTTTATAACACCAGGTATATTTACTTCTACCTGGAGTGAACCTGAGGAACTGGTAGACAGAACGCTGGAGTCACAGAGAACCGTGTGTTTAGTCTCGGAGGAACATTATCCGTGGAGAGAGATTGATGATACGATCTCTCATTTGTTGTATGGAGATAGAGAGATGGTAGAGGTGGAGAACAGGTGGAGAACTGGAGGTAGAGATGGAACTTTTTCGTGGAGACATAGAGGAGGACAAAGGAGAAGCGTGGAGATAGAGAGGAGAACAGGTGTAGAGAGATAGAACCTTCTTGGTGAGGGATGATCTAACAGAGGTCGCTGGTGTTAACACAAGTCAACACAAACTCAGGGAGGGGGGGGGGGCGCAGAGAACACACGTCTTCAGTAACCTCAACTGACTGTGTAAAGTTCAGAGACTCAGGTGGAATATGAGACTCTCAGTTAGACATGTTGGACCGAGTCTCATTAGTAAACTTTAGTCTCTCTGTTTTCCCTGCCCGTTAGATCTCTTGCACCACCCTGCCAATCTTATTCCTCCCCGCCCACCCTGTTCCACCCCACCTAGTTTTCTCCACCCAGTGTACCCAATTCACCCCCACCCCACCCATCCCACCCCATCCCACCCAACTCCATCCTTACCTAAGCTTATTGAGGTAAACTGACCTCCGAAGCTCCATCATCTCGTCATATTAAGAGACACACCTGGACATCATCACCTTCCACGTATAATAACACGCAGGATTAAATTACTGTCAGGTGGCTATTGACGTGAGAGCCAGCCTGGGCTCGGTGGCAAGACCTTGAGGGGTGAAGGGGTGTGGTCCAGCTGCCAGAGGGAGTGATGCTGGGGAGGTTAACACGGGAGTGGTTTGTTTTACATGCCTGTGACTCTGACCTGCTGGAATGAGTCTTTGAGCTGCAGGAATGAGTCTTTGAGCTGCTGGAATGAGTCTTTGAGCTGTTGGAGTGAGTCTTTGAGCTCCTGGAGTGAGTCTTTGAGCAGTTGGAGTGAGTCTTTGAAGTTTTATTATTATTATTATATACTAGAGTGGTCATATGAACAAGGCCACAATTTATATAATACTCCTCTGGGATGGCCACAGGGACAAGACCACTGGACACACATCGAGGTAATAAATGACCGTCACACCTCCCTACGCTCATCACTAGTACCTCAATTATGTT